GGTGATTGGCCACATCAGTTTATGGGATGCTGCAAGCCTATTTTTCATGCCGGTCCCAAGAAAAGCCTTGACTCTTTTAATGCCTGCCTAAGCAAGCCTGCACAACTGCATCTAATGTGCCAGACAAAATTAACTGGACATTGCTCAGTCTGGCTCGCCATATAAATCTAGGCGTTCTCTTGGCACACACAGAGAAAGAGAGAGAGAGAGAGAGAGAGACAGAGACAATGCTGATGAGCTGTGCACAGTCTCCGGCCTCACCCTTTGCTGCTTTCAGAAGCAGTGTAAAGAACCTTATTTTTTCATTTGTCCTCCTACACTGTTTTGGTAACTGTGATGATTTTGGTGTCTGGGCTGGGTTCCCCCCCCCCCAGTGATGTCTGTTAGCTGCCTAGGTTTTCCAGGGGGAAAACTCGCCAAAACATGCCCTAAACAAATAAGGAGAATTTTTTAAATGGTGGAACTGAGTTTGACTTTAAATATTTCCAATGCATCGGAGGCCTCTCCTTTGCCAAAGTCATGCATGCATTTCCCACACGCACATAGGAAAAATAACCTTTGGGTTCCCACCCCTCTGGAAAGATAACAGTGGAAAAGAAAGACAGAATATTTAAAAAAAACACACAAGCCAAACCTGGAGTGGCCATATTCTGTCTGTCCTCAGGACAGGAGGGGAAACCGAGTCCCTTTTTGATCAACACCCCTTCCTTCCTTCCATCTGTCGGTCCCTGAAAGAGGTTAAAAGGATGACATCATTTCGGCTCATTCCATACCAGAGGTTTTTTAATTGACTTTCAGATAAGCCCCCAAAACAAGCTCTAAATTACAACAATGGCAGGAATCAGCTGCGAGAAAGGTGGTTGAGCGGAAAACATTGGGCAAAGAATGAATGTTGGACAATGAATTACGATGAGGTGTTTCTTTGTTTAAAAAAAAACAGGAAAAGAGTGGACTTCAGAAAGAGGTCTAGGAAGTGCTTCCATGGAGCACCAGAGGTTCAGAGCGGGAGACAGAACCTTTACAGTCACCCACGGAAGAGAATGGTCTTTGGCAGCCTGGGGAAGGGCAGCCAAGATGGGGCCAGCCTGGCCTCCGGTGGGAGGGAGTTCCGAAGTCTAAAGGAGCAGCCACCGCAAAGGCCCTTCTTCTGTGTCCTCCATCAAAAGGAGGTGGCAGGATGGAGAGAAAGGCTTCTTCGGATGATCTGAACACCCGAGCCAGCTCATCATTTGAGATCGCTCGGACCCAAACTGATTAGGGCTTTTCAGGTTGAAAACAGGACTTTGGGGGGTGCCTGGAAGCCATGGGGGGAAAAGTGGTTAACTCATCATTACTCATTGCTATTTGTGTCTGTGCAACACTTCACAGTTCCTCCTTCGTGGACATGTGCGAACATACACACTCTTCTGTGGTCCGCGTTTGGGCACTCGGTTCCCCTACGCAAGCCACAGTGAAATGGGCCTGCAATGGAACCGGAGGAGCGATAAGGCCACCTGCCTAAAATCAAAAAGATCTCTAGTTCCTCTCTGGAGGAAAGCAAAACCGAAACCTTTCCTGCACCAACGAAGATCCTATGCCTTCTCCTACTCCTCTCCCTTCCATCCCCACCTCACCCCACTTTCCACCTTACTGTCACCACCCTCCCAGAGATGGGAGGCCTGCTGACCAGAAACGACCCCCATCCACCCACCGTCAAGAAGTCGTTAGCAGCAGAATCCTGCCCCTCCGATGGAAAGCAAGACGTCGTTACCACCTCTTGTTTTCCTCCATTTGCTTTCCTGGCAAAGCCTTTGCGCTTTCTCCTAGTTTGGATGGACAAGCAGAAATCCGACAGGTAAAGCTTTTCTTACTGCAGCAAATAAGAAGTGCTGCCTCAGTGGAATTCCGAGCTGCTTTTAAAGGCATTGAGAGTCAACGGGGCGGAGCAAATAGTCTGGACTCAGGAGACCTCAGATCAAGTCCGAAAGAAACTCACTTGCCAGCAGTAAAGCACTCAACACACATCACCCTAAGTCATAAGTAAGATGATGGCAGGCAACGACAACTTAAAGGCATATACTATGTGTCCAAAGGCCACAAGAGAAAAAGCCAAAGGTTGCATTCACACATGCCTCTACTGAAAATTTCAGATCACATGCATCGAGTTACAAATGATTTGACATTTAAAAGTTACAGCCAAATCATTTAAAGCCCCCGGGGAAGTACACCAAGTTACGTATTTATTTTCTTGCTTGTGTTCTGTCTCTCACGCCCAGCACAAAACATGCACGTAAACAGCTTCAGTCTCCTGGCAAGAAGGCTCCAGCTTTTCAGGCAGAAGGAACATCTGACTCACAGCCCTGGGCGCGCACAGCGCCTCCGAACTCCACCAGGGAGAACCTCGAAACAGATGCAGAAAAGTTGCAGAAGACAAGAGTCGCAGATAACGCAACCCAAGGAAATCTGGAAATGTGCATTTTGGAAGTCCGCGGGATGTTCAAGGCCACACACCGTTTGTATATACACAGAGACAGAGGCGCTTGGCTTGCAAAAACAAAAACAAAAAACAACTCACCGAGATGTAAACACACAAGATCTAACACACAGACACACACATGCCGAGTCCCAGCCAGAAAACCTCTTTGAAAGACCTCACCCACCCTCTCCTTCCTTGGGGCTTGGCAGCAGAGAAATGGCTTCTGCTTCTCTCCGCAAAGCTGCTCATGTGACTCATGTGAAACTGGATCCCCCCCTCAAGTCAGCACCAGAGCTGCCCTTCCTCCGTCCCCTCGGAAGCCGGGGGAAGGAGGGGACACCAGGAAAGCAGGAAACACAACACACAACAAGCACATAACAACTTCCATGCCTTTCTTTTTTTTTTTGGTATGCCTCACTGTGCCTCCTGGGCAGGGGCTCAGGGATCTCTATAGGGTCCCTTCCAGCTCTAAGTTCTAAGTAAAAGAGAGTCCCTACAGAGGAGGGGCAGGATCTGATCTCGATCGCCCCAGAGTGCAGGACACAAAACAATGGGCTCAAGTGACCGGAAGCCAGGTTTAGGCTGAATATCAGGAAAAACCTATTAACTGTTAGGGCAGTACGACAAGGGAGCCCATCACCTTGGGAGGTGGCAAAGCACTCCAACGATGGAGCCCTTCAAAGGGAAAACTGGACCGCCCTCGGTCCGATCTGCTTTGATTTGGATTCCTGCCTTGAGCGGGGGGGGGGGGGGGGGTTGGACTGGATGGCCTTCGGGGACCCCTTCCCACTCACCTGATTCTCTTATTTCTAAAAATCCTGACCCCCACCACCTCCCTTCACCTGGGCATTAATTCGCCTGCCTTCCCTCCCCTTGCAAACAAACCAGGGACCCGGACTGTTTGGAGAAGCTGCCTCTTTTTTTAGAGGACTACAATCCCCATCCTCCTACGAACTGGCCCTGCCGTCCAAACCATGGCTCCAACGGCCCCCCTCGGTCCCAGACTCCCTTCCTTGCTCCCTCCCAAACGTTATCATTCACCCTCCCTGTTCTCAAGACCAGGTTTGCCTTTTGTCTTTTCTATAGCCGCACAAACTGGCTTTTCAAACCGCTCGGCTCTGCCTGGAAACCTCATGATGTGGCCACCCCGCAAGGAATAAATGGGGCCTGGCACCTCCTCCGGCTGGCACAGGAAGCTCTTCTCACCCGCATGGGTGGCACCCGGCCTTCTTTGTTCCCAAACGGAGAGCCGGGCCGGGGAGGGCTCCCTCCTCTGCCTCTCCCACTCCAGCTGACAACGGAGCCGGCTGACATTTCCTCCGAAGGCCCGTAACCTTTGGGTTGGCGCAGGCAGCGATGGGTCTGCGCTGGGTTTTGCGTGGGAAGGGAGCGGTCCCTTTACAGCCGAGAGATGGAGAATTTCCTGGGCTCCCCCCCCCAGGAACCCAGAAAGATGGGAGCCCAGGATTCCCTCCCCTTTGTCTCACTTATTCTTTGCCACAAAGTTACACCATTGTTATCCTTCCACTTGACACATATTAAAAGGATATTTTCTCCCTCTTCCCTCCCCAGTTTCCACGCACACAAATAAAACACAGAAATTTAGGCCCATACAAGGCAGAGAACTCCGAAATCCCAGCGATTCCCCTGTCCTTCCTTTGCCAGCACAGAATTTCGCCTGCAAATCCTTCTTCCGCCTCTCGCCATCAAAAACAACGCGCGGGGAGGGCGTGATTCAGAGTCCACATTTTGGACTGTACGTTCCTAGAGGTCGGAGAACTCTGCTTCTAAAGTAGAAATGATTTTTTTTAAAGCCAAATGGGGGACTTTAGGTAGAATAACTGGTGGTGCTGGAGAACTATGAAGACTTCTGGGTATCACAGAACTCTTCAGCGGACAACAGCAAGTTCATTTTAGAAGGGCCCCCCTGGTCATCTGTTTTCGGGGGGGGGGGAACCAACCCAGAATCTTGCGCCACTTCAGAGGGAGGGGGTTGCAAGAGCCTGGGCTGGTTTGGACAAGGCAGAGGGGCATCGGAAGCCACCCAGAGCCCTGCGGGGGTGGGGGGAGGATCACAACCGGTCCCTTCGGTTCCTGCAGAGTAGACCAGGTTGGATCCCCAAGGGGGTCTGGAAAGAGGGATCAGGGCGAGATGATGTCCTGGGGAAAAGCCGAGAGTTCAGAGAAGTTCCCTTTTGGGGTGCGTGGGTGGGTGGGGGACTTCCAACCCCCAGCATCCCCCCCCCCGAGGGG